GTAGGAACAGCGGGATATAAAAATCAAAATTCAGTTATGAAAGGAAAATTTGCTACTCTGCCAGGCCAGTTGTGAGGTAACTTCATATTTCATATTTCATATTCATATAAAAACAACTTCATATTTCATTGATTACTTGATAACTTTGATAACTGTTCATTCATCAATAAAAGTCATTCATGTGTTACATATTTATATACTACCTACTTTAAGTAGTAGTAGGTGAAAGCTGGTCATCTTTCCTTCTAGTTGGTTCCGAAATTCATACAGAAAGTGTATTATACCTCAATTTACAAGACTAATGAAAGTCATTTAAATTTGTATAATGTACTTATCAGTGCAGGATCAGTTCAAAGACTTCATTTGATAGGGCTTATGGATGCACATTTTGGTAAGAATTTCATAAGAATGTATTTAGAAGTACATGATAAGCAGACATTGCTGTCTGAAGATATATATTATAGTCAAACCAAATCTATTTGATTTTGTATTTCCACGTCACAATAATGATGGCCCTATTCCTTACCCAATGCTAGCAACACATGTTTTAACTGGTGGATGATTTAGGCAGACTCCAATTGATGCAGTTCCCAGTCTGCTTAGGTTGGAGTACATTATAGTAGACCATGTCTTAGGGACTGTGTTGACAATAATTCTTAGATACTCTATAGTAATTTTAAGATGTCAGTCTCAAGTATTTAAGACCTTAGTTCTTAAAACATGTAATCCCCATTTTGTTTTTGAACAGAAAGGTTAACAGGATGGTAAAACATATGTGGAATTTTGGTTAAAAGTTTATGCATTATTGAGACTCTTGTCTGTTTTTTCTCATTATCTATCAGCTCAGTTTAATAGACTACAGTTGTTTGGTCATAATCTGAAGTGCCATTTCATTACCTCACATCTTAGAATCAGGAAAAGAGCATTAAACCAAAATGTGGTTTTGACATTGATGATAATAGTTCCTTGTGTACTAATCTTTTGTCTTAGCTATTATTTCATTTTAGAGCTGAAGGATATATAAAATCAGTATGACAAAATGTGTTCCATAAAAACTCAACTCTCTAAATGACATTTTAAAGCCATGTGGTCCATTTTAGTGAACAATTTTCTAGATGCTTTTTAATTCCTAGAGATATGCTTACACATGAGATATTTACTTTTCAGTAGTTTTCATTCTTTTTCACATGATTTCACATAATTTATAAATTTAGGCTCATTATGAAGATAGACATTTTTTAATCTGAGGTTTTGTAACTTTATTTATAGAGGTATTATTTTTGAATCCCCTCTAATGTACCAAAATGATTTTTATTTTAAATTAAAAATGGTTCCTGTTCTCTTCCATTTTTGCCCTAGAGCATCAGTTGACATTTCGTAGAGAGTTGGTTGGCATAGGGCTGGAAAATATGTAGCTATAAGATTACCTTCTCTTGAATTCCCATTATATAATAGTTATGATTCAGGCAGACTTTTCCATAGGTGTTTGGTTTGGAATGAGAAGTTTTCTTCTTCTATGACCTGTGATTAAAGTGTAGCATTTTAGTAAATAAATAGAAGATAATTTCTGTAAAATCTATCTGTGGATCACAGCTGGCGAAGCAATGTAAATCTTTGACCTGTATTATATAAAAGCAGTAACACAGGTAATTGGAAATATATTTTAAGATCAAGTACAATAGACTTTTTTTTTTTAATGCTCTGTAGCTTAAAGCAAACTAAGAGCTAAAATGCAACAAGATGCATATTGAGAGTTTTGCTTTACTTAATGCTCCTCAAAGGAATTCCAACAGAAGGAAATCTACTAAAACTACACTTGAATATTTTCTTTTCTTTTCTTTTAATGAGTTATAATCATGAAGGTAAATATTTATCAATTGCTGTAGCATCATAGTAAGGACAGGAAATAGGCTGTATTTCCTGTATTTCATTTCAGGGTTGAAAATGAAGTTTACTGATAAAATAGTGTTTGGTTAATAGTCTTACTTGTTGCATTAACCTTTATACATCTTTATGGCTAAAGTTACAATTTTAATTAGTTGACTGTGGAATCATGTACCCATTTCCTGATGATAAGTTTGTGTTCTTTTCTGCATACTGAAGTAACTGATATATTTTCCCATATGTAGTTTAGTTTGTATATATATTTGTAAAGATATTATGTTGTATATGTACATTGTTTCTCTGCATTATGAATAGAAATTACATTATTCCAAAGTCATTCATGCAAGATGGCATCTGCTACAAGATTCCTTTTTGAAGATTAAAACACTGAGCTTCTTAGTCCATTCTGACTGCTATAACAAAAATGCCGTAGACTGGATAGCTTAAATAGTATAAGTTTATTTCTTACAGTCTGGGAGTCTGGGAAATCCAAAGTCAAGGTGCCCAAAGTGAAATTTGATTTAGTGAGGGTCTTCCTCCTGGCTTGCAGATAGACATCTGTATACACAGCAGAGACAGAGAATGGAAATAAATTCTCTCATGTCTCTTTTTGTAAGGGCAGTAATCCCATCATGAGGAGCTCTATTCTTGTGACCTAAATACCTTTTTTTTTTTTTAAGATTTTATTTATTTTTTTGAGAGAGAACTAGAGAGAGAGCAGAGAGGGGAGGGGCAGAGGGAGAAGCAGGCTCCCCACTGAGCAGGGAGCCTGATGCAGAGCTCGGTCCCAGGACCCTGGAATCATGGTGTGAGACAAAGGCAGCTGTCTTAATGGACTGAGCCACCCAGGTGCCCCCACCCCTAATTACTGTCTAAAGGCCTCATCTTGAAATACTATCACATTGGTGATTAGGGTTTTAATATATGAATTTGGTGGGGGGAGCACAAACTGAAATTCAGTTCATAGCAGCTTCTCACAAAGGCTTTATAATTTTGGATATCTATCTTCTTAATTGAATTAATGTTAGAAGGATTGAACTAGAGCCAAATGTCATCTTTTATTGTAAATTTTGAAGTGTCCGATATTAGTGAATTTAAAGCCTTAAAAATGTTTCATGTGAATTTATCAATTCTAATATATTTTAGTTTTGGTGAAAACATCTGCAAGGATCTGTTCTTCAAAGTGGTAGTTTTTAATTGCATGTGTAATAGGGAGATAGAGGCATTACTTTTGTATTCTGCTAACATCTTTATATCTACTATTTCACTGTTTATGTCCATTGTCAATATTCTGTGCTCATGTTATTCCTTCCTCTCCCCACACTGTCTCTTTGATGCCCTCTAATTTAGTTTCATTCATCATCACTGTTCCACATGCTCCAGAGTGACTTGTCTGTGAAGTCTCTTTTTGCAACATGATATAGTAAGACCTCTAAGCACTCTCTGGAAATACAGCCTGGGCAAGTGACAGATACTCGATAAGTATTGGTTAACATGTGAATGGAGAAAAGAAAAGAAAAAAAAAAACCTCTCCCTATTTTCTCTCTGTGATGTTTTACTAGCCGTATTCTACTCACTAGATAATTTCCTTCTTTGACTATTCCCCTCCCTTCCTATATGCAGCTCCTCCAAGTTTCAGTCCTCAGTTATTCAATTTTCTCTGTCCATGCTCTTTTGCTTAAAGAAACCTCAGCTATTACTTCTATGTGAACAACTCCTTTCCTTTTCTCTAGGACAGCTTTCTCATGAGCTTCAGTTATGTATTTCCATTTGTCTTCTGAACATTTCTATTTGGGTATGCTGCCATCTTTTCAGACATAACTGGCTCAAAACCAAACACACGATGTTCCTCTTCAATGATATCTCTTATGTATTTTCTTATTTTTGTCACAGTATTGCCCTTTTAGTGGCCATTATTCATTTTTATCTTCTTCTAGTCACTATACATATTAAATATTTACTGCATCTCTTATCTTAGAAAATCTTCTGAGTTGTTCTTCCTTTTCTTTACCAATGTTAGTAAACTCCTTATAGTGTCCCTAAAATAAATCTTCAAGTCATCCCATTCTATAATGTACTGCCAAAGTTTATTTCATAAACTACCTCTTTCTTCATGAATCTCCTTTAGTCTAAAACCTTCAGGAGCTACCCACTACCTGTGGAAGTAGTTCCCAAAAGCTTTTTATGTTTTTTATTTATTTTTAAAGATTTATTTATTTATTTGAGAGAGAGAGAATGAGCTCACAGGTGTGAAGAGTCGGGCAGGGGTAGAGGGAGAGAATCTCAAGCAGACTGCCTGCCCTTGCTAGACTCCATCCCAGGACCCATGAGATCATGACCTGAACTGAAACCAAGAGTTGGATCTTAACTGACTGAGCCACCCAGATGCCCCTCCAAAAGCTTTAAAAAAATTATTAGACAAATTTAGTTAAAAAAAAAAAAGTATATAGGATCCAAACAAAGAAGAGTAAATCTAAAGCCGTTTTGAATGAAAATAATTCAGGCACCTTCTATGTATAGGGCTTTTCCTATACGTTGTTCCCTGGGCTTTTCTGCAGATTTCTGGGACACTTTAGAAGACAATTTGAAACCTATTGCCTCTAATACAAAATCCTTATTTAGGATTAGGCCCTATTTCATTCAACCCGTATGTTCATTACATCCAATCATTCCATGAATTCCATCTTTGTACCTTGGCTTCTATCATGTTTAGCACCTAGAATGCTGCTAAACTTTTTTGCTTCTTTAAGTCTTATTTATATTTACAGATACATTTCAAGTACTACATCTTTGTTGAATATGTGAATGCCTTTTTAGGAAATAAAAGACTTGGTGTCTTTTCTCATGATGTATATGTATCTTGGGGGAGGTACTTTTTTTTTTTTGGAAAAATACTTCTATGTTACATTTAATTATTAGATGGACAAAAGTCACTTTTTTGTGCTTATTATATTTCAAAGCCCTAACCTGAATGATTTTAAGCATTCAAAAAAAATGGGTCCAAGATTGTTTGATGCTAAAATTATACATTAAGAGCACAGATCTAAGAATAATAATGTGACCCAAATCAATAATTTTAACATAATTTATTATTTTCTACATTTGTTTTCTTTTAGGACCTGCAACATATGATCCCGTTTTAAGGAAATCTTGCTCCATACCCTTATTTGTTAAAGCATCAAAGCGTTTTAAAGATTCCAAAGAGATAACTCCTGGTCCAGCAACATATGAGGTTTGTTACTAATATCTCTTTTATCAGTAGCAAAAGAATAGAATAATATCCAGAAAGTACTGAAAATGTTTACATTAAAGTCCTTTTCATATGTTTTATTCATATTTGGCTAATCAAACTCTTTTGGCTGTGGAAGTCATTTTTAAAAAAATATTTATTTATTTACTTATTTAGTGAGAGATAGCATGAGCTGGGAGGAGGGGCAGAGGGAGAGGGAGAGAGAGAATCTTAAGCAGGCTCCACACGCCATATGAGCCTGAAGTGGGGCTTGATCTAATGACCCTGAGATCATGACCTGGGCTAAAATCAAGTGTCTGACACTTAACTGACTGAGCCACCCAAGTCCCCCAGAAAGGCATTTTTGAATACATTCTGACATTTTTAAAAAAGATTGACTTATGAATTATTTAATTTATTAGTTTATCTATAAATGTCCACAACAGCATTTATATATATATAATATCTATATGTATGTATGTATTTTACATCCTTGCAACTTTAAAAACTTTGTTGTTTAGATACACAAATGGAAATTTTTAAGTATTATTGCAATCATGGATTTAATGGAGGGCTCAGAAGATAGTGTGCTGGTCTAGTAAAATCACGTATTGATCTTTTATCTTCTTTTAATAAGTATAGATGCTATAGTTTAGATTCATAATAAATAAAGGACTCTTTTAAGCTCTGGGCCTTCTGATTATAAGGAGGCTTAAATAAATCTGCAGGTTTTAAAAATTGTGTTCACAATTGGCCTTTTATTCCTCATCTAGAATGAATAGGTCTCACATCCCCACTCTACTGTATAATTCCCATTATAATATTTTATAATGACTCATAGCAAGTAATTTAAGAATTAATTCTCAGTACAAACCACAGTGAATATAGTTTTTTGGGTTAGCTAATGACAAGTTCATTTTTCTTGAATGTATGGTTTTCTGCTTATTTAAAATGTCATAACCTAAAAACTTCTTTGGCATTCTGTCAATGCAAATTCATAATATAACATCAGGAAAAAAAGAAAAATAAAATAAAATAAATGATTGAAGAGTTGTTATTTCACTTGTGGGCTGTTGATTCCCCGAAAAGACCACTGCTAATTCCTACTGATTAAGCAATGCGAATTTTATTTACTTCAGAAAGGGAGAATCTGCTATATAGTCTTAATAGTATTTCAGAAGGTGCAAGTCAAAGGACTTCTGATGTTTTAGGAACTGGGGTGTGTGATGTAAGACAGGTCTTACAAATGGGGAATTGGTTGGGATTGGGCAAAGTTTATGACTTGTTTACTTTGGGTTATTGGGCACAGTGAGGGAGTGTCTTGAAGTAAGTCTTGATCAGTAAGCTATCAGTCTTCATAAGTTAGTGGTATGGCTGTTCATAGTCTAATCAAATTATCACATTAAATCATTAGCTGAACACTTCTCCCATACTTTTTTAAAACTGATTTTATGGGGCACCTGGGTGGTTCAGTGGTTTGAGCCTCTCCTTCAGCTCAGGTCATGATCTCAGGGTCCTGGGATGGAGAACTGCATCGGGCTCTCTGCTCAGCAGGGAGCCTGCTTCCCCCTCTCTCTCTGCCTGCCTCTCTGCCTACTTGTGATCTCTCTCTCTCTGTCAAATAAATAAATAAAATATTTAAAAAAACCTAATTTTAATGGTATTTACAAATAATAATATCAGTAAATCTAATGTTTTCCTTTTATTTTGTTATATATTTATCATAGAAGGTGCATTTTCTAGTCTTTCTAATATTTAAAGACATTCTTTTTCTTTCATAAGATTTTATAAATTATATTTATACTTCCTCATAGTCATTTACTACAGCAAATTATTTTCTATGTCAAAGGAAAACATTTATGGGGTTGATAATGATGTTTATTCAGATACTGCCTGAAATTTCAAACTAATATGTCCTATATATATACTGCACTGCAAGGTAACTTTCCTGTTGAGAACTGAGTAATATTTTTTGCCTTCCAACACTATGTTTTCTTTAATATTTGAAAACTTTTTTGAACAGGTAATTTTCCTGAAAGATTTTCCTTTTTATAAGAAAAAGTTATTTTTAATCTGATAGGCCAATAAATTACTAGGTCTTTTATTGTAACTTGCTCTTATTTTTTAATTCAATACTTTTTTTCTCTCTTGACTTTAGTAAGTTTAATTTAAGTTGGTAACTCTTGAGAACATATTTGCCTTAAATATTTTACTTTTTTTTTTAACAGAAAAAGATGATTCTAGAAATTTAGAACATTGTTTTAAGACTACAATATTATGTTCTATTTAAAAAGTGGTTAAATGTGTAGGACTTGTGCCATTATCTGTTACAGGCTCTCAGTGTCACATATTCATACTGGATCCAGCTTATCTAACGTGGGTGGTACTTATAATAATATCTATAACAATAGCTCTTTCAAGTTACACAACCACATATGCAAATTCCACTTGCCATTTTTATTCTTGTGTGAATAATCTTTTGAGTTTCCCAGGCAGAATTAGGGTTTTCCTTTTTTTTTTCTTTTTTGGGGTGTGTGTGGGGGGGAGGGGTCAGATTTGCCATTGGATTATTATTCACACTATCTTTCAATTACAAACTAATCTGTTTGTCTCTTTTGCTCCTTCTAGTTGTTGATATTTATTGGTTAACTATTGCTGACCCTTTTGAAGATACAATGAAACCTAGAGACTCTTTACTTAGGAAGAAAACATTGCATGTACACTCCTAACAAAACCCTGTGTATACAATTTTAGATAGTTTATTTATCTACAAAAGCTCACCTATGGCTTCAGTCAAGAACTCCCAATAGTAGTTTCTGAGCTACATGAGAGCAAGACTTATTTACTTTTATATTACTAGGACTTCAACCACAGAATCTGGCATATAGTAACATATTAATAAATGCTTATAGTATAAAGCAACACAATGGTTAATGGTAGGACTTTCTTCCCAGGATTAAGTCACTAATCTTTACCTATTAATAAACATTTACTTACTTAATTCACAGTGAGAAGAATATGTATATGTCCTTTTAAAATAACAGCAGGTTTTACTGACTTATTCACATTCTCTTGTTGAGTAAGTCTTCTCACTAAATGCCAGCTTTTTAAGGTTTAAACACGAGGCACTACATTATTTTCTGGAAATTAAAATTGACAGTTATTATGAGAATATTTTAAAAACTAGATAGAAGAAATTTCAATGAATTTAACTTTTAAAAAAATCCTCATTTAAATATACAGAAAAATTTAAATACACATCTCTTTAAAAAAGCAAATTCTACTGAAATTAATTGAAGTTTAATAATAGAAGTATTTTTTGAATATAATTTTTTCTACTCTTTGAGATATAATTGACATATGTATATGTATTATAAATTATTGCCACAATGAGGTAGTAATAAATGATACCATCACCTTGCATAGTTGTCATTTTTTGTGTGTATGGTGTTAACAGTTAATACCTATTCTTAAAGGTTAAGTAAGATCTATTGAAGTAATAATATAGTATTGTTAACTATAGTCACCATGCAGTATATAAGATCTCCAGAATTTATTCATTTTCTAAAAGAAGGTATATACCTTTTACCCAATTTCTTTCAATTTCTTCTATTTCTTAATCCCTGGCAAGCACAATTTTACTATATCCTAATCAGTACAGCTTTTACATACAAGTATAAACATACAGTATTTTTCTCTGTCTAACCTATTTCACTTAGTATGATGCTTTCAAGATCCATCCATGTTGTCACAAATGGCAAGATAGCGTTCTTTTTTTTTTTTTTTAAATGGTTGGATAATATTCCATTGTTATGCACACAAACCACAACTTCTTTATCCATTCATCCATTGATGGATACTTAGGTTGTCCTCTATCTTTACTACTGTGAGTAATGGTAGAGTGACAGGAAAGTGCAGATGTCTCTTCAAGACAATAATTCCTTTCCTTCAGATATATTCCCAGAATATAATCTGGGAATTGCTGGTTATGGTAGCTTTATTTTTAATTTTTAAGGAATTTCTGTACTGTTTTTTATAGTGGCTGTACCAATTTATATTCCCACCAACAGTGGACAATAGTTACCTTTTATCTACATCCTTACCAACATTTGTTATCTCTTGTCTTTTTGATGTTATCCATTCTAACAGATATGATGTGACATCTCATTGTGTTTTTGATTTGCATTTCCCTGATGATGAATAATGTTGAGCACTTTTTCATATACCTGTTGACCGTTTCTATATCGTCTTTGGAAAAATATTTATTCAGGTCCTCTGCCATTTTTTTTTAGTTTTTTTTTTTTCTTCTGTTGAGTTGTATGAGTTCCTCATATATTTCTTATATTATCCCCTTATCAGATAGATGGTTTGCCCTTATTTTCTTCCTTTTTATTGGTTGACTTTTTGTTTTTTTTTCTTTTACTGTGCAGATACTCTTCAGTTTGATGTAGTCCTGCTTGTTTATTTTAGTTATACTTGGTATCATATCTAAAAGAATCATTGCAAAGACTAATGTCAAGGAACTTTTTCCCTATGTTTTAGGAATTTCATGGTTTTAGGTGTTAGATTTAAGTCTTTAATTCAGTTTTTTTGGTGAGTATTATGTTAAGGCTGCAATCTTATTCTTTTGCAGGTGGCTATCCAGTTTTCCTAAAACCATTTATTAGAAGAGACTATCCTTTACCTATTGTATATTCTTAGTATCCTTCTCAAGGATTAGTTGATCATACATTGCAAAAGTTAATTTCTGGGCTCTCAATTCTGTTGTCTTTGTATATTTGTCTGTTTTTAGGCTAGTACCATACTGTTTTGATTACTATAGCCTTGTAATATATTTTGAAATTAGAAAGTGTGATACCTCTAGCTCTATTGTTCTTTCTCAGGATTGCTTTGGCTGCTTCAGGTCTTCTGTGTTCCATACAAATTTTGACTTTTTTTTTTTATTTCTGTGAAAAATGCCTTTGGGATTTCGATAGGGATTGCATTGAATATCAATTTAGGCA